CAAAATTAACTCTTTTTCAGAATTTTCAAATGGAATATTCTATATATTTATGTATGTTCATATTCTTTGATTTCCTTTTTCACAAACTTTTTTCTGATAGAAGGTTTTTGATTTACTAAAGTCGCGGATACACCTTCTTAGCTTTTCGAATAGGTCAAGTAGATTTAATTCATAATGGAAATAAGTCAATCGTAACGATCTGCCGTTAACAGCTAAATATTCTTTTTGATTTTGAAATGCAATATAATTTTTTCCATTAATCTTGGTATCTGGTTTACAAAAAGGTTAGATGTAACTCAAAAACCACTTGTACACACCTCCAAAAACCTTACATCAAAAAAGCTTGTTAAAGTAGAAATCAAAGGTGTGAAAACACACAGGGTGTTCCATCTTAAAATTAGGAGATTTCGTTCATTTTGCGATTCCGACCACCTTGTATAAACTGTTGAAAAAGTAAGTAGATAGGGAGAAAATATGGAATCATATTTTCTTATGACGATAAATTCAGTACTCCAGCTATAATAGTTGAGAAGATACGAGTTGTCAAAATTGAGCATTTTTTCAATATATTGCCCAATAGCTCAACAATTTGATGTCAAATTGCTCTATCTGAAAGGACCTATCCAAATCTTCAATTAAGTATAGGTCTTCCTAATTAAAAAAATTAATGTTTGGGTCACCACGTAGCTATGAATCACCCTGTACAAATGAAAATATTTTCCATATAAGAACATTCTGTTGACTACATTTTTTTGTAATTACTTACCTTTTTTAGATACTATGCAAAATAACGGAGTTATCGACCGAGCTCACATTAAAAACTCATCCTTTAAATTCGCTAGATTTATAAATTGATTATGATATGCACTGACCTGTGACATATGTATAACGGGTGATTTTTTAAGAGGTATAGGATTTGATTTTCAAAAAAACACAAAAAAATTGAAAAAACGATTAAATCTTTATTTGAGTCGATAGAACGGTCGATATAATTTAATGTTTAGATGGCCCATGCGCAAGGTCCAATTTTGGCACACTCTCCCCAACATATCGGCCGGTATCTCACGAATAAATGCTTCAATATTGGCTTCCAGTGCGTCAATCGTTGCTGGTTTATCCCTGTAGACATTAGCCTTAACATGGCCCCACAAGAAATAGTCCAACGGCGTTAAATCACACCACCTAGGCAGCCAATTGACGAGCCCCAAACGTGAGATAAACTGTTCACCGAACTCGCCTCTCAATAGGGCCATTGTTTCGTGTGCGGTGTGGCATGTGGCACCGTCTTGTTGAAACCACATATCAGCCAAGTCCAGCTCTTCCATTTTGGGCAAAAAAAGTTTGTTATCATCGCACGGTAGCGCTCGCCATTCACAGTTACGTTCCGGCCATTGTCATATTTGAAGAAGTACGGCCCGATGATGCCACCGGCCCATAATCCACGCCAAACAGTGATTTTTTCGGGATGCATTGGTAGCTCTTGCAATGCTTCTGGCTGATCTTTACTCCAGATGCGGCAATTTTGCTTGTTAACGTACCCATTCAACCAGAAATGAGCTTCGTCGCTGAACACAATTTTTCGATAAAAATGTGGATCTTCCTCCAACTTTGCCAGCGCCCATTCACCAAATTAGAAACGTTGTGGGAGGTCGTGTGGCTTCAATTCTTGCACCAGCTGTATCTTTTAAGGTTTTACACCCAAATCCTGTTGCAAAATTTTCCACGTAGTGGAGTAACAGAGGCCCAATTGCTGCGAACGGCGGCGAATTGATATTTCACGGTCATCACTAACACTGGCGGATACAGCCGCAATATTTTCTTCAGTCCTCACTCTACCTCTGAGTGTTGGTGGTTTAATGTCCAATAATGTGAACTGGGTTCGAAATTTAGTCACAAGCTTCCGAATAGCTCCCTCAGTAGGCCGACCAAATTGCCCATAAAACGGAAGCAGTGCTCGATGCACTCTCTTAACCGAGCATGAATTTTGATAGTAAAATTCAATAATTTGCAAGCGTTGTTCATTCGTAAGTCGATTCATGGTTAAATTATAGGCCAAGCTGAACAAGTTCGACAATGACACGAGACACGATTCACGCGTCATCTGTCAAAAACAGTGTTTTGCCAAAAAGATACTAGCAAAAAAATCACCCATTATAAAAACAAGTTATAGTAACTGTAAGGCTTAGTTCAATTATCGCGTGTCTGACCCGCGTCGACATGGCGTGGATTCGTTGGGTCGGTGCTCGAATAGCACGCGTACAAATTTTATATATAGTGTCAGTTTATTGTGTTTAGTCGACTAGAATAGATATGGAAGAAGCTATTTATGCTTGGTTCACAAGCAAGAATAAAAGGACGTTGAAGAGAAAAATCATGCTGGGTTCACCTGAATCTGAGGAACAGCCACGATAGTATAACCTCGAGATCGAGAACGCCGGTAATGCAATCAGACCCACTGAGAGTCTGGCGCGTGTGTTTCCTATGTATATATTTCTCTGCTTTAAAGGCAAATGTACGGGGAAATATATGATGTGCGAAAAACGTATAATAGGTGCGTAAAATTACAGCAGTTGGAAGCGTATAGATTTACTACCGGCAAAAAATCCCCTACAATACGTAATTTTTCATCTTTCAAGTTTGAGCGATTTTTTTTTTCTCTTTTTTTTGCTCTCCACGCCGACGCCACTGGACTGAGCCCAAAAATATATAAAAGCTTTCTGATCCTTGCCATACTATTTATTTCGTATAAAAAAATTCTTGAAACTCGGTGCTGTACTGTTCAACTTATAGACTAGCCAAGGATTAGCGGACAGACCGACAGACAGATCAACGGAAATGAGTAAAATGATTTTTTCTGATGTACATTTTATATAACATCCAAAAAACACAACAACTCATTGTTTCGCGATTACGGTGCCGGTAGGCGTGGGAAGTAAAAACGTATTTCTGTGAGCTTACACTAACAAATGTCTTCGAATAGAGGGTGATTGCACGTGTGTGTATGAGGGAGATGGATGTATAAAATTAATCCCTGTAGTTCTAATCTGATCCACCAAAAATCCCTAAAAAGGCTCATAGTTTCTTTTACAAAGCTATAGTAATGACTGTCATACATCCACCTTCCTCACATAATATACATATTATGGAGTCGGTCTGTATGCGCGGAGATTTATTTGCATAAGTCCACAGATTTAAGTTTTTCAGTCTTCTCACCGTCTTGACAATTTTCTCGTCAACGCATGAAATATTTATTATGGTCACTGTCAATACTTCAGCTTGCTTATCATGGGCATACGATTCGAGCTTACTTTTTGTTCATCTTCGGCATAAAACGTAGCAATGCCTGAAGATGCAGCTGCAACGTCGACAGTATGTATTGAATTTATTGGAGTGTCTTCGGAACGTGAATCAAAACAACAGTCACATGGTACAGTTAGTCAGTCTGTTTAATTATCCCGTACCGCATTCAAATTTATTGGTGCCAATATACATATGTGCTTAATCCAGTCAAGGACACAAAAGACACATCTGACTTAAAACAAAATAAATGAAAAACAGTAGAGATTAAGATATCGAACAACAAAATAAAAGTTTTAAAATATATGCAGGAGAAATTCATCCATACTATAGCACCAGACATGTCTCTGATGCTCTTCGGCAGATAATTAATTGTACGCCTTGGTACTCTGGAGACTTCTGATATCTGGTTAGCCGGAAGTACCCTGGAATCAGACTACTCTTGAACCTCGTGCACATCACTGTTCACTCTTAACATAGTAAGGTTGTTCTTCATATGGAGAAGGCGGTCCATGATGTATTGTCCAATATTAAAATCTCTAGCTCTCTTCACGCCTGCCTACAGTCAGCCCTAAGCTTCAATCCCTTACATATAATTATCTGGATGGCCTTCCTCTGAAGGCCAAATACACGATGTGATTGCGCCGCGCATCCCCAGATCAGTAATGCGTATGACATGATGGAATGAAATAATTCATAATGAGTTGTTTTCAATACAGATGTACCTTCGCAGTCCGCTAGGCGTCGTAACGCATACAGTACAAGTTTTTTCGCCACATGGTTTATCTGGACATCCCATTTAAGATGCGGGTCCGCGTGCACCACCAGGAATTCTGCAGATTGTTTATTAGTATTTACTTCGCCTATCTTTTGTAATAAAACACCATCTGTTGATTTTGCTCCAGTCGGATCGAACCATGCCTTAATATACGACTGTACGGCTTCAATTCTCAATATTGCTTCATCCAGAGATCCTGCAGTAAGGGAGAAAGTGGTGTTGTCCGCGAAAAGGGTGAAAGCCGCATCTATGATTGCCAAAGGCATTAATGTACAATGGGAATAATATAGGACCCAATACTGGGCCCTGTGGAACTTCGATGGACAGTTCCCTTTCCTGATACACCTCTTTTCCCACCCTGACTACCTGGGTTCTATTTGCCAAGTATGATATAAAGAGAGAAATAGCAAAATCGGTAAAATTATAGTATTTAAGTTTTTTAATTAGGTTTTTGTGGTCCATACAATCAAAAGCTTTACTGAGATCACAAAAAGTAACTGGGGTGTATTTTGAGGACTCTTGAGAGTTCAGTATTCTATTCACGAAATCTAGTATAGTCAAAAATGTGTTCTTATTTTTTTTAATCCAAATTGAGAGCTTGCAAGCCGTAACCGTGAATGGCGTCTTGCTTTCGATACCCCTGTAGTGTCGAACTGAACGCAACAAGAATGCCTGTGAATTCTTCCCAAATTCGTTTGGGCTGCTACTCGTGTTCTGAATTAAGACAAGATTAGCCGAGAAGCAACATGTGATTTGATCATTGCTTAGCTTAATTCAGTCGAATTGGGTATCTTATTTAGATCTACAATCAGCCTAATTAGCTGTCTCATGCAATAATTTGAAGGAGAAATACATTTTGCAACACAGTGGTAAAACAATGTTTCGGAGGCTAAATTAGCATCTGATGTGTTTTGTGTTTTTGCAGGACACCCGAACGCGTCACAACTTTAAGGTGCATACATATTCATCACCTACATTTTGTGACCACTGCGGTTCACTCTTATATGGAGTCATACACCAGGGGATGAAATGTTCAGGTAAGCTTCGACATCATTTTATCAGATCACACGAGTTTGTAACGGGCAGAGGGTACTCCTCCACTCGTTTATCCAATGGTTACTTGTTAGTAAATGAAATGCAGAATTCTCTTCACCTTTTTAATAATATAATTTATATTGTAATTTAGAAAGTTATAAGTGTATAAATACATATGTATAATATGTTTAAAGGGGCAAGCGCAAAATGTACAAAGTATCAATAAACCTAAGTTACCAAATTTCACCACTTAATAAAAAGTGTACCAATTATTTATAATAACGCCGGAAACTTGGGAATTGGTTCTGAGATGATTGTGATGACCTGAAGGGTGACTCTCGCCTTTCTGTGACTACGGCACCTTGTGCCGCCTCTGTAGGATTCTTTATCTGGTACGACGTACTGCCCGTTTTAAAAACAGAACCAGCGCGCTGCTGTACGACTAGGCCTTGATAAAATGGCGGCCTACGCTGCTAGATCTCAAATAGATTTGCTCAAATTATGATATTAGTCAAGAACCCAACTCACTGCCCCTTGACTGAGGCACAATATATGACCCCCTCAGGTAAATCCCCGAAAGCAAAGATAATCTCGTTTAGCTTCGTGCTATATGTTGGCATTGGGGATTCAGGGTGAGCACATGTGCACACCTAGTGAGATTATAAAGAAAACTGGAATCTAGATGACTTTTCATTCTATTACGAGTACATGGAAGCTGTTATACCAAGCGGTTTGAATCGGCCAATAAATGTCGAGATGTCCTCTCTCGAATGAGAGTATGGAAATTCCATAATCCAGTCGAAGTAGGGATTTAGGATATAATATTGCCGTTGCAAATTAGGACAGGAAAAACAGAACATCGCCACTGAGCATAGCAATATTTTCCGAATCTCCTACCTTTCATTGAAGGCTCCATAGGCCTGTAATTTGTTAAATGCATGGTGGCGCCTAAGTAGTTCCCCCGCGCGAATAGATACAGGTAGGGGGTGACATTTGGTGAATTTTATTCATAGAGCCTCTTCTGCATTTTGATAGCAAAACAAGCATAATATTTTTCCAAAATTGTTGGCCCTTCAATTGGGGTTCGAACCCTACCGGTAGCGAGTCAGATTATAATAACGAATTCTTCGGTTATAAAATTGTTTCATGAATCCACCTATAGGTTGAGCTATATATTTTTATATCAACATTTAACGCATGCCGATTTCCTGTAAACTTCGCCACTGTATAACGTAACAAGATTGTCGGCTCGTAAAATGCTTTTATAGCTCTACTGTGAGCCAGCTTGTCGAATTTCCTCGTTCCGCACAAACAACCAAATTCTAGTGGGTGAGGATCCAATACTAAAGAGATCAATGAGATACACGTATACAGAGTGACTCAGCAAGGACACAAAAATAGTATATAGGTTCCTATAATGACAAGTTCAGGAATGTTTCTTGAAGTAGATATTTTTGTATCGAGGTGAATGTGATACCCGTATACCGGGTGTTTTAAATTCAACCCTTAGCACTGGGATCTCGGAACAGATACAAAGTCGCTTGGGCGGGGACATAGTTGCGTATTTAGGCAACTGATAAAATGAAGCTTAGAAAGTTTCGAAATTCAAAGTACTTCCGGAAACAGACAGAAAAATTCGAATTTTAAAAAATCGTTTTAATGACAGACTTTGTTTGTAGAGGGATGTTGAAATAAATTAACATTAACATTTCGTTTCTTGTCCTGTAGCATCAACTTTATTTTTTAATATGGACGTCATATCGGATTTTTACACAAATTTTTTTATACTCCAACCACCACGAAGGCCTAAGGCCTTAACACCCATGGGGTAACGTGGGGCTATAGGGGGATACAGGGGAAAGGGGAGGGGGAACGCCACACGGACTCTGGCGAGGGAACACGTGTGCATGCAACATGCCCCGCCTACGAGATCCGCCGGGTGGTACCTCCGCGATCGACAGTCAGAGACCGTCTACCACCTACGGAAAATCATAACATCCATAGCCAAGAGAAAAATTTCTCCTGGGACGGGATTCGAACCCGCACAGCACACGGCGACTGATCAGGAGACCGCAGAGTCTACTACTGCGGCTACCGCTGCTACCTAACTGACAGATGAATAGGGTTTTCAATTCCATATTCAAAAAATGTATAATATGACATAAATTTCCAAACCACAACCAGTCCAGAAAAGTAGAATTTGTTAGGTAGGACTTTAAAGACATATTTAAATTTACAAAATTCCAATATAGCGACCATATAAAAAATAAAGTTGGTGATGGAAGTCGAAAGAAACCTCGAATTATAGATGAAAATAAGTGGCAATAACAACATGCAATTTATTTTAAATTTCCAGCTCAAATAAAGTCATTAAAAAATTAAAATGATTTTGGAATAAATCTAGTTTTATTAAAAATAACTAAGGTTTGACAATGCCAATATCTGACGTATCATACATCTTTGGAATCAGAATCAAAAACTCTATTCTTCTGTGCAAAAATCCAATATGGCGTCTTTGACAAAAAATAAAGTTGAAGCTAGAGAGATAGAAAGTCGTATTGAAATTATAATTATGCCATCCTGTAGAGTTGAAATTACGCAATGCTAATGTGCAATTTATTCCGAAATCCGACTATGAATAAAGCCAGGAAAAAATTAAATCGATTTTGGAATAATGCGGTGTCTGTCTCTCTTCGGAAGTACCTTGAATTGGGAAACTTTCTAGTTACCTAAATATGCAACTTTGCCCCATTTGAGCGACTTCGTGTCTCAAGGCGGGTTTACATGCTACGTCTTATTGTACGTTTTGTGAGACAAATCCTATCTAATAAAACGTGACGTTTAAACAGCAAAACGTACGTCTTGTCAAATCGAAATGAAATCCAAGGTCAGATTGAAAAACTGATGGGAGACGCATCATTTTGCGAGAACTGGAAGCACAAAATGAAACGTGTAGACTCATGTTCAGACAAGACGTCCGATCTTGGCTCAGTTCACGAGTAGCTCCACTTCAGTTCGCTTACTTTTTCCCCAAAAAACCTAATAATTTCAGACTTGCGACAATGAACCCACGATTTTTTCCTGGAATACATTGAAATGTATGTTTTCCGAGTTTGTGGCACGTGAAAAATCAAGACTATAGTGACCGTAATAAAAAAAAAACGTCGCGTATGAAGATCTTATGAAAAATACAAAGAAATAGACCCTACGGCAAATAAAGAGACTGTTACAAAAAAAACGCGTTGAGATCGGTTTACAAAAAAGAGTTAAAAAAAGTGGGGAAATCAGAAATTTCTGTTACTAACTCTAGCAATTGACAATAGACTGAGGTATCCATTCGCAAATAATGGCGCCAGTCATCAAGTTCGCTCCTCAGTTGTTTCAATAACGAGACGTGGGAATACTGGTTTCTTTTCAGAATCCATTCCATTGACCATCTTGTCTTTTTACTCTTCATCCCTTTTCCTCTTAGTCGTTGTATCCTTATAGTTAAACAAATTAAAGAAAGCAGCCGTGTTTCCTCCATAATAAAAAAATTTCTCTCAAAAAAATTCACTAACCAAACTTCACACAACTCAAGAGTCTCGATTGGAACTGTAGTAGAAAGCGGAAGATAATGTCTGATGACCTAATCATGATGACCATTTTTCTATGTCAGTATACTCTGAAACTACCAAACTGATGTTATACGAATTCCTTGCCTATCGCCAGCTATATAGCGATATGGTATTCATAGAGTTCAGCCATCTGACTATAAGTTTCAGATTTACACTTTTTTCATGGTGGATATAATAATACTAATAAAAGGTCTTTATCAGAGCGAAGTTAAGCTATAGGTTATTCTTCCACTTAACCCTTTTAAAATAGTAAGTTTTACAATTAAAACATTTTAAAGGACAATTGTTTTTCACACAAACTGGATCAAATAGGGAATGTTCATAATAAAAGACTCTAACGATATAAAATACATAAATAAATAAGGCACTAACAGGATAAAATATAGATGTAAACAATGAGAATGCCCCACAAAAGAGCATTAATTTATGCCAGCATTTTTCCGTATACAGGGTGATTCACTAATAACACAAAGATGGTGTCTAGATTTCCATAATGACAGGTTCATGGATCTTCCTTTGACAAAGATTTTTGTTTCGGAGTCATTGTGAGTATATAGAGTGATTTAGTAAGAACATAAAGTGCTTTCTATGTTTATATGATAGCAGGTTCATTGACCTAGATCTTTTTGTTTCGGGTTCATTACGATACCAGAATATAGGATGATTCAGTAAGAACACAAAATGGTTTCTAGGTTTCAATGTCTTTTTTACATAGATATTTTTGTTTCGGGATCAATATGATTCCCATATACAGGGTGATTCGGTTAGGACACAAAGATGGTATCTAGGTTTCTATAATGGGAATTGATTCCCGTATATACGATGATTCAATAAGAACAAGAAGTGGTTTTTACGTTTCTATAATGCCAAGTTAAGGAAATGGTCCCTCGACCTGGACTTTTTTGTTTCGGAATCAATATGATCCCCGTATACAGGGCGATTCAGTAGGACACGCAAAGTAGTTGCCTGTTTCCTATACTCTTCTGTAACAGGGGCTTTGCTCCTCAAAGCTCTCCTCCATGATGCATCCGCGCAATGTGCCCGAGTATATTTATACACTCTCAACCTCGGTAACTATACTCGCAAGTGTCCTGACATTACTGCTGCTGATCGGATATCGGGCAGAGGCAAAGCGCGACGTTGAAAGAGAAAGAATGTCTATGGGCTAATTTTCTGTTTGATTTCGCTATTACACATGATCGTAACAAACTTCTCCCAGATGGTGTAATTTGTGCTGAACATAATCATCGCGTATGAACTGACTCTAATGTATTATTCCAAATCACCTGAGTGAACTAAAGCAACTATAATTTTGTTTTAATATTGCAACAATGTATGTGCACATCTATGTTGTATTTTAATTAACACGCAAACTACAAATTTCA